AGTTCAGCCTCTGACCACTAGTTGGCAGCAGTGAGCCAGTCTTTTGGCTCCTCTACCTCTTGAGCACCAGAGAGTAAGGGTAGCATTAGCATTGTAAGTAAACATTAGCATCATGCTCCGATAGCTGAATCTGAGCAGAAAAGACCGACACCCTCTGCCTTCTAAGCTGAGGTAAGGTTACAAACAGTTACTTATTTGTCACAATGTCTGTATTTTAAATTAAGTGTCTCGTGCGCTCGTTTTTCCAACTTTAGTCAGCCTTCACGTTACAGAAGGCTAGCGCATGTCTATGTAATATAATTTTCAAAGACAATGAATTTTTTTTTCCAGTAAGAGGTTTTTATTTAATAGATTTTTTGGACGAAAAATAGCAATATATCGCAATATATCACCTTGCTTACAGTATCGCAATATATCAGGATATATCGTATCGTGACCCCTCTGTCATGGTATGTATCGTATCACCAAATTCTTGCCAATACACAGCCCTAGTATTAAACCTGTCCTGGTGACCCTGCAGCCATGTTTGAAGGATGCTGGTTCAGTTCTGACCCCTCCCTGCAGGTCATCATCCTGATCGGGAACAAGGCGGACCTGGAGGCTCAGAGAGACGTGACGTACGAGGAGGCCAAGCAGTTCGCAGAGGAGAACGGTAAGAAAAATAAAATCTACACCTGAATCTGACGTCAGGCTTCAGTGACTGACGTGTTTCTACTTCCTGTTTCTGTTCAGGGTTACTGTTTCTAGAAGCCAGCGCCAAAACGTAAGTTTGTGCTTCTCGGCTCGCAGAGGGCTCACTCTGCTGCCACCTGCAAGGATTTATTCACCTTAAAGAACAGAAAACTTTATACAGTACAGTAAAAACAGGCTGAAGGTCTGAAAAACTGACAGATTTAACTGAACTGTAACGATTAAACAAGAGAACAGAAGCTAAAGTTAGCAAAACAGCTAAAGGCCAGAGTTAGACAGTAGCTAGAAGCTAAAAGAGCATAAGAAGAAAAAATAAATTCAGTTTGTTGAAGCAGAATAAAAAGAATCAAAAAGATTTAAAGGTTCAAAATTCTGAAGTATAAAGTCACGTGACTGTTCCTGATCGAGTCTTAACTGTTTGATTCATGACTCGTTCAAAAACCAGACTGTTTTTAATGCTGACTCAGCATTTCTTATTAACGCTGAGTCTGCATTTGTTATTAAGACTGACTCAGGGTTTGTTATTAAAGCTAACTCAGCATTTATTAACGCTGAGTTTGTTATTAAAGCTGATTCAGCATTTGTTATTAAAGCTGACTCAGCATTTATTAAAGCTGACTCAGCAGAAGATATTTAACATTGACTAAGGTTTTTCTGATGACTCAGCATTTATTAATGCTGACTCCGATGTTTTTCTGCTGACTCTGCGTTTGTCATTAATGCTGACACAGCATTTGTCATTAATGCTGACAATTTATTAACCCTGACTAAGTGTTTCTTATTTACGCTGACTAAGTGTTTCTTATTGAGGCTGACTCAGTGTTTGTTATTAAAGTTGACTCAGCATTTGTCATTAACGCTGACTCAGTGTTTGTTTTTAAAGCTGATTCAGCAGAAGATTTTTAACATTGAATAAGTAGGTGTTTTTCTGTTGAATCAGCGTTTGTTATTAAAGCTGACTCAGCATTTATTATTAACGCTGACTCAGCATTTGTTATCAAAGCTTACTCTGCATTTGTCATTAACGCTGACAGTTTTTAAAGCTGAATCAGCAGATTTTTAACATTGACTAAGTAAGGTGTTTTTCTGCTGACTCAGTATTTGTTAATGTTGAGTCAGCATTTGTTATTAACGCTGACTCTGTGTTTGTCATTGAATCTGACTCAGCGTTTTTAACTAACACTGACTCAGCGTTTGTTATTATTGCTTACTCAGCGTTTGTTATTATTGCTTACTCAGCATTTGTTATTATTGCTGACTCAGCGTTTGTTATTAAGGGACTCAATGTTTGTCTTTAATGCTGACTCAGCGTTTGCCTTTAATGCTGACTCAGCGTTTGCCATTAACGCTGACTCAGCGTTAGTGACAAACGCTGACTCAGCATTTATAACTAACGCTGACTCAGCGTTTGTCACTAACGCTGACTCAGCGTTTGTCACTAACGCTGACTCAGCGTTTGTCACTAACGCTGACTCAGCGTTTGTTATTAACGCTGACTCAGCGTTATTAACGCTGACTCGGCGTTTGTTGTCGGTCCTGATGGTCTTCTTGTCCTTCAGAGGGGAGAACGTGGAGGAGGCCTTCCTAGAAGCAGCTAAGAAGATCTATCAGAACATTCAGGACGGCAGTCTGGACCTGAACGCTGCCGAGTCCGGAGTCCAGCACAAACCGTCGGCGCCTCAGGGGGGTCGCCTGAACGCCGACAGCCAGCCGGCTAAAGAAGGCTGCAGCTGCTAACCGCCGAGCCTCGGACCCTCCAACAGATGGACAAACTCAGAGACCAGGTCCACCGCCCAGAACTGGATCACATCTAACCCTGGCTTGGTCCAAACACCTCTTCTGGACTCTGTTCAGGACCCAGAACACACTTTGTCCATCCTGCCTTCTTTTACCATAAACCTGGTCCAGTTCCACATCTGGGCCAGACTTTAATCCAGATCAGTATTTGATAATCCGGTTCTGGACCCAGATTTACTCAAAATAAAACCCAAATCCAGATTAAAGACTCTCGGGTCCATATTTAGACTTGTATCAAACCTCAGCCCACAGAACCGAGCCGCTTCAGTTCTGTTACCAGAACCAGACTTAAGTTCTGGACCCAAAACCTAAAATATTAAAAACACCCAGAATCCGACAGTTCCCCCAGCCTGAGTCCAGTCTGGACCAGAACCTGGTCCTGTTCACAGCAGGACTAACAAACCCAGACTTTTAAATGATCCTGGTCTTAGACTGGTCCAGGTCCACATCAGAACTGTCTTCAGTTCTGTCGGGTCACAACCCGGTCCTCTGCTGGAACCGGTCCGTGGACCAGAATCAGCTGTTGGTCCTTTTTAAATATGAAACAAAAGGTTCTAAAGAACCTGATCCAGAACCCAGTCCTGAACCTGGACCAGCTGGTTCTTCAGAGGACTGCAGTGGGTCCAGATGCTGGTGGTCCAGGTTTGATCCAGAACGTAGAAAACTTCAAATCTTAAACTAACTTCAGCCCCGAACATTCCTCAGATCCAGAACTCAGGTTCTGGGTCCAAATCGGTACCAAACCAACCCTGCATCATTCCAAACCCGGTTCTGATCTTAACCTTTGGACCCGGATCCATGTAAACGTGTCTGAAACAGAAAAATTTCTCTTTAACTGAAGGATTCTGTAAACGTTCTGGATTCTTCCAACACCAGAACCAGAACCAGAACCTTCATGTTTCGTTTCTCTGTGTGGAAATAATTCTTCTTTTTATATCAAATCTGAAATATTTAAACACAAATATTAACTCTGAGATGTAAAACGATTAGAAACAGTAATCAGAGCGTTGATGGCAGAAAATCTTTTTCTTTCTCTTTAATGCAGACTGAGTGTGGAGCACAGCGCCCCCCAGAGGCTGCTGCTGCTGCTCAGTGTGGAGCACAGCGCCCCCCAGAGGCTGCTGCT